TTTATTCTGGGCTGTTTGATATTATGGCCTGTGATGCAATGAACAGCTACTTTGAAGAAAATAAGACATCATAATAGCTAGTGCTGATTTAATACCATCTTGTCTTAAAGCCACACCAAACTATGGCTCTTCTGTCTCCATTGATTTTATCATGTTGTAGCTTGCTGGATTTTATCATATGTGGTAGTATAAACAAAAATTGTTATAGGCAAAGAGACAATATAGAAACCATTGATCATTTTTTCTGTTACCTGGTTCTAAATACTCTACAATGCTTTCATCCACTTGAAGGGTGTTACACAGTCTTGATATGTTTGCTACTATAGCATATGAAGTTATATTCAAATATTTCAAAGAAAAAGACACTATGGTAACTACTATTAAGTCGGGTTATTTGGTGGTGAAGCACTAGGTTGCTGAAAGTGTCATGCTTTAACCTGTATTGTTATGTTGTTATGCCCCCTTTTATCTCATCCTCTCCCTTATTCATTAAAAAATTATTTAATTTTTTAAATTCCTTTTTTAAGCTAAGGGGAAAAAATCAAAAATGTAGCAGGATATATTATAGTAACTTTTTTGATTTCCTATCAAGTTGAAGTCCTGTAATACCCCCGTTATCTTGTTTTGACTGATTAGACTCTGCTCTGTATGAAAGTATCAAATATCAGAGTATACACAACTACTTTAAAGGCATTAAGATTCATTATGATGCCCATTCTGGTTTGATTATTATCCTCTTTTGAGGTGCTGTAAGATTTACAAAGTTTAGGTTTTATTGGTCTTGTTCTCTACTGTTATATTTAACTTTATAATACCTAAAGAGATAGACAATTCTTCTTAAGGATACAAGAGGCATTATGGTAACCATTGTTGATAACCTTGTACTCTGTTTTTACATCATGTGCTATGTCTAGCCTTCGTTTTGACTCACAGCTTTGTTTTATCATGCTTGATTTTATTCTCTTACCAAAAAAAAAACAGTAATAAGATCTAAGGGAGCAATTACGCCCAAAATGTGTAAATTTTGTTGTAATAAAGAGAGGGAAAGAAAAGTGCCCTGAAGGATACAACAGCAAGGGTGTTTAGGTGTGTTGCATAGAAGACCATATTAATAGTTTGGATTGGATTACTGAACACAACTGTTTGCAGTCTCACTGTTTGAATGTTCGCTTTGTGTGCTTTGATTCTGTGACCTGCAACACCGTTTCTAAGATGATAGCGAGTAATGTATTAACTGGTGATAGCTTACTGTTTTTTGTTTTTTGCTTTTCTGTAGTTCTGAATTACTTGTACCCTTACACTGTTTTTTTGTTGTTGTTGTTGTTCTGCTTTTTCCCCCTTTTTTTCCTTTTAAATAAAATATTTTTTAAAAAATTAAAAAAAAGAAGTTATACACCAAGAAAAAAAAAAAAAAGAAAAACAGAATAATAGAGTTTTCAGCGATACAAACAGCCCGTTGCTTCATGTATGCCATATGTTTGCACCCACTGATACAAAGCTTGCTTATTTCAGATGAATTTGTGTGGTAATATCTGTACTGGCATGCATGTGATTGGGACATGCAGAGCAGTGTCAGCACCCTTGTTTTTGGCTGATTGCCAAAAACAGATCAAGTGGAACAGAAAATTGGACAACAAACCATAGCTGTGTGAGTTTTTATTTAACAGTTATTTTTGGTCTTTTACGTCATGGTTTTTCTAAGGGAAAGGATCCCTCCTATATCCCCTGCCAGGTATTGGGAATTCTAGATCACAGAAGTGAAGTTTTGTGTGGTACATTCATGTAGAACCCTGGGATTTTGCTAAAATGGGTGACATAGGGTATCATGGGAGCCCAGTGTGTGTCATAGGGTAATCTGTCAAAGAAGATTTCCCAGGGGAAGAACCATTAGAGCTGAGTGCTACATAACAAATAGGAGCTTAACTAGTTTTCTATTGTTGGACACTAGGATATTTTCAACTATTGATTTTAGTAAACATATTTCCTGTGTTTTTAGATTATTTCTTTAGGTTATACTCCAAGAGATACACAACTGAGACAAGAATATGAACCCAGAAATACTATTGAAAGAAGTGTGTTATGATTGGTCCCCTCTTATCCACAGAGGTTGTGTTCCAAGATCCCCAGTGGATACCTCAAACTTCAGATAGTACTGCATTTTGATTTATAAGTTAGGAATAATAAGAGATTAACAACTAGAGCTAATAATAAAATAGAACAATTATAAACATAGTCTATGATAAAATTGGCAGTATCACTATTTTTGTGCTTTGGAGATATTATTAAGTAAAATTAGGGTTACTTGAACCTGAGCACTATAATATTGTGGCAGTCAGTTTGATAACCTGGATGGCAACTGAGTGACAAACAAATGGGCAGCATATATAACATGGTTATGCTGAGCAAAGAGATGTTTCTTGTCCCAGGTGGAAAGGAACAGACCATGATTTTATCATTTTACACAGAACTTCATGCAAGTGAAACTTGTTAGCTATTTATTTCTGGAATGTTTTACTTACTATTTCTGTACCATGGTTGACTGAGAGTTACTAAAGTTATGGAAAATGAAACCGCATGGAAGATGTGGTATTACTATATTCTACGAAATGGAGGTTTCCTGGTTTTTCAAATCATCCCTTTATTGGATAGCAGTCTCTCTGCTTCTCTGTTTCCATCATTTTGCTGTTACAAATAGTGCTGTTATGTGCATCTTTTTGCCTAAAACTTTATTGTATTATTCAATATTTTTTTTTAAATTTTTTTTGCAGTAGTGGGAATTGAACCCAGGACTTTTGCACTAGCTACATCCCCAGCACACCATTGCCACCACTTCTTTTTTTTTTTTTTTTTTTTTTTTTTTGTCTTTTTCATTTTTATCGGTACCGGGGATCAAACTCATGACCGCCTGCTTGCAAGGCAGCCACCACTTCTTTTTAATTTTTATTTTGGAGACAAGTCTTGCTAAGTTTCCAAGGCTAGGCTCAAACTTGCCATCCTCCTGCATCAGTCTCTCAGTACTAGTAGAATTCATTTCTTTTCTTTTGGTACTGGGGATTGAACTCACAACCTTGTGTTTGTCAGTATGCTGCTGAGCTAAAGCCCTGGCCTTGTACTGGGGTTTGAACCCAGGATCTTTGCTTTGAGCTACATTCCCATTCCTTTTTTAATTTTTAATTTTGATTTTAATTTTGAGAACAAGTCGATAATAATGAGACTGGGCTTGAACTTGTCCTTCTCCATTGTGGGAAGCACAATCAAACAATTTGGGACATATCTGTCTAAGTTTATTACCTACTAACTTAGTTGCTTTTCTCATTACTGAGACAAAATACCTGGCACCCAGAATTACAGGAGGGAAGGTTTATTTCAGCTTACAGTTTGTAAAGGTTTTACTCTACAGTCAGCTGGCTTAAGGTAGGCCAGGCAGAGGAGGAACAGTCTATGATGTGCCAACCGAGAGGCGGGGAGCAGCAACAGCAGCAGCAGCAGCAGCAGAAGCAGCAGGCCTCCTTTATCCTTTTATCCCATCCAGGCTACAGGCTTTTGGGTGGTGCCACTCATATCCAGGGTGGGCTTTCTTATTATCCACACTCAGAATTTTGTTAATTCCAATCAGTGGACTAATTTAGTACCACACATCCTTAATCCCCATATCACATGCCTTAGATCTAAAAAAGCCCCACATGTGAACATATGAGGCTTGGAGGGGACATCTAGATACAAGCTGTAACATCCAGTATTTAAAAAAATGCAGTGATGTTCAACCTTATAAATGAAATGAAATACAAAGTAGATGATGTATAAATTATATAAATATAAATGAAATATAAATATGAAATATAATGAAATGTAAACAAAATAAGGTGTTTTTCTTCTATCAAGTCCTCAAGATAAAATAAAAATGCTCAAAAAATTCTGATAAGCACAGACTACATAGGAAGATGGTACTCCTCATACACTGTTGTTGGGAATATAAATTGGTACATGTGGAGGGCAATTTGTCAGTAATTAGGAACATTTTATATACACATACCTCATGCATTTTCTTCTCACTTTAGGAAGATAGGAATCTTGGTAGCTGTCTCATAATGTCATTAGGATAATGGTGGTGGTGATGGAGATGGCACGGGTGAGGCTGTGAAGCATTCACTGCCAACTACTTACTATGTGATGACATTCTGTCCACATCTACCGTAGTGCTGGGGCAGCAAGGGTGAAAGCAATTCTCTTGATCCTTCCACAGCATAGGGAGAAAGGGAACATTTTGGGGGAGGGAAGATTTTTGCCATTGCCCTTCATAAGGTAGAAACTGTTGGTGTCCACAGGCCCTGCACACACACACATCATCACTTCCTAGGAACGCCTTCCCTCTGCTGCTTCCAAGTCCTAGGCCAGCATTAAGATTCTACCCCATGAAATATTCATAAAGCTCAACTGACCATAAAACACTTTGTAAATGTAAGTATTGTAAGTGACCCAAATTATATCAGTGGCCTTTTTCAAAAAGAGGGAATAAAGGAAAAGGAATTTAAGGGAATGGCATCCACTGAGCCAGCCTTGCAATTTTCAAACTGTAATAAATGGGTCATGGATTTGCATTTTTTAATTTTAGAAATAACTAATGCTTGGACTTTTTTGAGCATTGTAAGAGTTACCTCATCTTAGTATAAATCTTTCTTTCTACATTACACAGATTATGTTGCTTTGTAAATCAATATTTGTATTCCATAATCATTTTATTTCCCAGTCTAAAAGTCCAAAGACTATTTTTTTTCTTTTTTGGTACCTGGGATTGAGCGTACAACCTCACACTTGGCAGGCTTGTGCTGAGCTAAATCCCTGGCCCTCAAAAGCTGTTTTGATCTCACATCAGATGAAATCATTGGTGCCTAATTGGCTTCTTCGGTACCCCGTATAGTCGCCACCCCAGCCTGCAGGAAAGCCCCATTGCCTACCTACACACAGGGATTGGAATTTTTCATTTTAGAAATTCTTTCTAGCTTGTGCAGATGCAGTCTCCATCCAGTCATCAATCCTTGACTCTGCTGAGTGGAACCCCTGAGTAAATCTGCTGTTTGTATCTTCATGGATTGAAGATGCTTACTCTCCTAGCACCACCTGCCTGTAACATTCCTTTCTTATAGAACAGGATTGCTCTATGTAGAACACTGTACACATCATCTATTTTCCCCTGTTCCTGTCCTCTTATTCATAATACTGTACTTAATGAACCCTAAAACTGTTAATTAAGTTCATTTATTTGTTTTTGGTGCCCAAATATATGCTATTGTTTCTTATCAAGTTATAAACTGAAAGTCTAGAGTAGTTGCTTTTTGAGCCTAAGTACAAGATGAAACGTCTGTTTCTCTGGAATCATAACTTTTTTTTTAGTTAATGTTTTCTGGCCCTCACCTCCTTTGGAATTCTGATTCTGGCCCATGGCTATCACTTAAAGTATGCATCTCTCCTTGCTTAGTGTCCTTGGCTAATGTAAAAAGCCTGTCTGTTGGTCATCGATGTGTTTACCTAGGCTCAGGGCTCTAAAGAGGGTGACAGATCCCTCATAAGGAGTTTTGCCAAGTGCTGCTGGCAACCTTTAGATTCAAGGCTTCTTACAGAAGACAAAAAAGCAAAACCCAAAGCCTGGCTGCCAGACAAGCTGGAGAAGCACCGAGCGCATTGCCTTGGGCATTGACATGTAAATATCAGAGGGGCTTGAAGCTGTTCCCCAGCAGACCCTCCCGCCATCTCCCTTCCACACAAAGCCCAGTTCTGAGGCTGTGCTTTGCCTTTGTGAGGCCCTGCCGGCTACCCTGCTCCAGAGGCAAGACTCCGTGAGTATCCTGCTCCTTTGTAAAACTGCATTTTTGACTGTGACTGTGGACAGGAAAATTTTCCCAGCTGAGTGCAGTGGGAATGGAGCCTCTGGGATGTAGATACAGGCATTTTACAGGTTTTTGAAATGAAAATGAAACTACTAAGTGAATTCTAGTATGACCTCCTGCTATAAGCAGAATAGCTGTCACATTTTTGTATGTGTACATACAAAGCACAAGACTGGATGTGAGGTTTGAAGTGCTTTTTAAAATTTATCTGAAGTTTCCGTAGAGTAATTTTATTTTGGGCTTTGGGCGTTGTGTAGGACTGCGATTCCACCTTGTTCTCTCTTTCTAACCTTGTTTACCTCCCCTCCCCTCCTCCCTCAATTCTAGTGTTCTAGAGTGTGTAATGGGGGCAAATTGTACAAAGTATTTAACCATTAAAGGAGGTAGCATAGAGTATTTTGCAAGTTTGAAGCAAGTAAAAATTATCTACCATTAGAAGAATACTGTGAATAAAATAGGACCAAGCACTGAATATGATGGATTTTCTTTCTCTGAAACTTCAGTGAAAGAGTTTGGGTGCTAGCATCCTAAATTCAACGTATGACTAGAAAACATAAGTTGCTTATGACCGTTAATCCTGATACATCCGCTTCATTGGCTTAAGAAACAACTAGCAGCAGGGGATTTAGCTCAGTGGCATAAGCACCTGCCTGGCAAGCGTGAGGTCATGAGTTCGATCCCTGGTACCAAAAAAAGAAAAAGAAACAACTAGCAGATTAGCAAGGCAGCTCCTGGGTACCCCTGGATGGGTCATAGAGGCATGGCCTCTAGCACAATATGTGGTCCCTTGCCCATTACTTTTTGGCACTCCTCCCCCGCCAGCAGCCATGAAATAAGCAGCTTTGATCTCACTCACCCTTCTTCCATGAGGCTTCTGCCTTGGAGCCAGCTAACCATGTACTGAATCTTTTGAAACCATAAACTAAATTAAAATTTTCCTTTTGGGCCAGGGATTTAGCTCAGCGGCGTAAGCACCTGCCTTGCATGCTCACGGCCATGAGTTCAATCCCTGGTACAAAAAAAAAAAGTCCTTTAAATTATGGGTATCGGCTATTGTGTCTTAGTGACAGGAAAAATGACTACTAGTAGTGCTCTTCTCACACTGTGGAAGGCATATGTCAATGTTATGTTTTGGGCCAATCTTGTTAGGCCCTTACAAACTAGTAAGATGTTATTTAATATATAAATTTTCAGAATGATGAGTACTGCACAAACTTAGGGAAATGTTGATTTTTTTTTTCTTTTTTATCAGTACCGGGCTCAAACTTATGACCGCCTGCTTGCAAGGCAGGTGCTTATGCCGCTGAGCTAAATCCCCAGCCCATGAAATGTTGATTTTTTAAAATTATTTTTGTGGTGGGGAGTTGTGGTCTGGGGTTGAACCTAAGGCTTCATGCATGCAAAGCAAGTACTCTGCTGTTGAGCTGTATCTCTAGCCCTATAAGAATCTTGATTTTTAAAAACAGTAAAGTCAAGGCTTTTATTTGGTAAAAGCTGTTCCATATAAACTTATTTCCCTGGCTGCCTATAGAGATAGTGGGGGTTTTTTTGTTTTGTTTTGTTTTGATTTTGGAACTGGGGATCAAACTCATGACCTTGTACTTACCAAGGAAGCACTTGAGCCACTGAGTTAAGAAATAGTGCTTAGAAACAACATTTTCTTAAGAAAATGCAAATGTTTCCAGGTCCACCCCTCCCCCACTTTCTGTCTCTTTCTGGTACAGATAGTGTTTACAGTATGAATTCAGAACATAGTGCATCTTTTGTTATTTTGTGATTTATTTTAAATTGTTTTCTTTTTAGACAAAGTCTCTCTATATAGCTCAGACTGACTTTGAACTCACTATGTAGACCAAGTTGGCCTTAACTAATGGTTATTCTCCTGCCTCAGCATTTTTGGTGCTGGAATTACAAGTGTTTTTATCACCATGCCCATCTTTAAGCATCAAGTATTTGTAGACATTTTGCTCTTTAAGAGTAAACATAATACAATTCTGGGCTTACATACCAGAATACCTATCATGAGATTGAAAAAAATTTAAGTTGTGAAAACCTATCATTAAGTGTGAAGTCTATTCTTGATTTTTAAGTGTCTTTTGTTCTCATGAGCATTATTAGGGAAGTGCGGTACTGTAGAAAAAGCAATAAACTCAGTACACTTGGGATCGGGGCTCTGTCTTTACACAAGTGACTTTTGTCACTTCACTGAATTTCAGAGATGGACTGGATTAGTGATTCTCAGGTGGAGCACTTACCAGTGTTGAGAGATAGCATTTTAGGTTGTCACAGTGTACCAGGCACTAATACCTGAATACTAGGTATTTTGAAGTGCCCTGAAACTGTCCTACCTGATCCAGTGAAGAACTAGCCCTCCCCAAAACTAGTGGCACCCCCACTGAGCAGCACTGGCACCCGTAACACTAAGGTTCCCTCAGCTCCCATTCTTTTTAAGTTCATTAGTGGAATGTTGCATGAATCCAAAACTATGTGAAATTAGTGCTCTGTGTCTGCATCTTTTTTTGTTGGCACCAAGGATCAAACTCATGACCTTGTGTTTGCTATGCAGGCACTGTGCCACTGAAATCCCTGTGCCTATGCATCTGCATCTTGCATTTAGCATTAACTTCCTCAATTCATAGTGAAGTCAGATCCCATACACTGTCAGGATGCTCAGGCTATGGCAACTGAGATTCAGAGCTTTATAGCCAGGGGAATCCCTGTGATAAGCATGAAAAAGTATTGGTACTATTCCAGAGCAGGTACATAGTTTGGCCTGGGTTTTTTGATTCATTTTAGATTTTCCTTCATGCCCTACTTTGCTAAAAGGAAGAAATGGATTTACTGTGAACACAGTCCTAGTCTCCAGGGCCTGGTCTTTTCTGGTTTAGACAAAAGACAACTGCTTCTTCACACCTGCTGCTGCAGGGCACTGTCAGGTCCGTTGGTCACAGTGTAGGTTGTGCAGTTCCTCCTTCCTTTGTCACAGTCTAGGCTGGAGGAAATAGTGTAGACTACCCTGTCTGGCAGAAAGAGATTTGGGCTGGAATAAAGATTCCTGATGTATCTGAATTCTTAGATGGTGTCTTAGTTACTTTCTTATCACTGATACACAACACTGACAGCTTAAAGGAAGAAAGATTTCAGTCCATAGACGCTGGCTCCAAAGCAGGGTAGCATGGCAGACAGGCATGGCAGAGAAGGATTGCTCAGAGCATGGTGGCAGGAAGCAGAGAAAGAGGAAAAGGAGGAGTGAGAAGAGTTAAGTCCTTCTAGGCTATGCCTACAGACCCACTTTCTAACAACCAGTCATCTGTACACTCACCAGTAGACTAATCCACTGATGATTATTATGCCCCTATGATCCAATCACCTCCTAAAAGCCCCTATGAGCACAGGAGGCTTTGGGGAAACTCCTAGATATAAGCTATAACAGATAGGCTGGCTTGACTAAATTGCTTTTTATTTGATAGTGAAGTGTTACTAAGTGGAAGTAGACAAGAAAGCTTCTATCAGGATTTTTTTGTAGAATGTAACAGAGGGCTAAGTTACTAATCCTGACTAGAAATTTGCTATGATGCTGTTCATGTATGCAACATATAATAATTGTAGTGTAGCTTACTAGGAAAATATATTTAAATTAAAATGCTACTTTCGTCTTAAAATGATTTAAAGAAAATTTAAGAAAAAAGTCATAATAACTGTAATCTGTTACAAATCTTGCCAGTTCTTTAAAAATTTTACAAAAATGAGATTATAGCTTATGTTTTATAACCTGCCCTGTTCACTTGGTCATATCTCATATGCATACAAGTCTCTGTGACATAGATATTACATATGTTTACATGCCTTCAGTCTTATTTCAGGCTGCTACAACAGTAGCATGCACTGGGTGGCGTAAGCAGTCACATTCGTTTGTGACAGTTGTGGAAAGGGAGAAGTTAGGGGTTGAATACTGTTGCAGGTCCTTTTACTGGTTTATACATGGAGATCTTTCTGTATCTGCACAGTCAGAGAGCAGAGAGGAGGTAAGTCTCCTCTGTTACTTCTTAGAAGACTAGTAATCCCATCATGAGGGCCCTATCTTCATGACTTAACTGCCCCACAAAGACCCTGTTTCCAAATAGCATCATGCTGAGGATTAGAATTTCAGGATATGAACTTTGGGAGTGGAGGAGGTATAAATATTCAGTCTATAGCAACTTTTGGATGTCTGTCAATTATGTAGAATTAGATGCTTTGGGTTCATATCTTAGCCCTGCCGTTTATTAACTGGGCAGATTATTTAATGACCTTGTACCTCAGTTTACTCATGTGTAAATTGTGGGAAATGTGAATGCCAACCATGTTAGCATGTTTTCAGAATTAAGTGAGATAACAAATATAGATGCTTGAAGGAGTATTTTAAAGAAAGTTAGCACTCAATTTCTGTTAGCTGTGATTTTCTTGTCAACATCAGCATAATTATATGATTATACCATCCCATAGTCAATTCCCTACTATTAGATATTCTTGAAGTTAAATCCTTTCTGATATCCTGAGTTATTAGGATAATTTCCTACAGGTGAAATTTTTAGATCGAGCAACTATTGAAGGCTGAGATCATATCTTCGTACTTCCTTACAGAAAACTTGTTTCCCTGTTCACTCTGCTGCCCTTTTCTCAGCATTACAGAAGTTCAGTGTAGCCTCCTTCAGACATTCCACAGGCTCTGGGGCCTGCCCCTCCTAATCACTAGGAGCATAAATTTGTCTGATATTGTTTTGGGGCAAGCATAATTAAGGAAATAGATTAGCCACAAACAAGCTGGATAAGGCGCTTCATGGTGAAATATAAACACAAAATCAAGGCGGATTATCTGCCACCTCATCCTATCTCTGCTGCAACTTCTCTCCATTGATCGAGAACTGCTATGTGTGAGAGGTTGTGAGTGTGTGGTCCCTTGCTGTGGC